CGTAAGGGATGAGCCGCCTGCCCCGCGCCTGCCTTGGCGCTTTTCCCTCTCTCTCGGGCGGTGGCTCCGCTGCACTCGGGGTCTGGGAGCAGCGTCCGCCTGGAGCAGGCGGGAGTTGAGTCCCGCCGGTCGCGCTGACATCTGACTTTCTGTTCGTTCGCCATTGCTGTGCTATCAAGACCCGACGAAGGGGAGTGCGGGGGGAGGATACTGCTATAGAGTGCAGGGTTCAGGGATGAGTGTAATACAAACTTTGGGTTGGTTTTGGTTTTCTTTCTCTCTTCTTTGTCCTTAATCAATGCACATGTTATTACCAAAGAAAAACTGGGAAAAAATATTTTGAAAAGAATGTAAGGGTTTTGATTATCTTCACTTTGCACGAGTCAAGTAATCAAATGGAGATCAGACCCTGTGAAGGGACTGTGAGCACAGACTCGGTCTCACCTGCAGCATCTGCATTCGGGGCTGTGCTGTGGGCTGTGTGTATTGTCGTGGTCACACTGTATCCTGAGCCCGGGTGGGACTCAGGGAGGCTGTTCCAAAGACCTGTCCTTGTTTTTCCAGTGCCATAGCACAGCACAAAGAATTTAGAACACCAGCACTTATGGCTGTGCCCGACTTACCTGCCGGCTGTGGAAGGTTGGAGCTGTGGGCTGGCACGGTAGGGTTGTCTCCCTTCGCACTTCTCACAGACAGCTTCCAGAGCGCTGGGTGTAAAGTCTGAGCTCTGCCCTTCCCTGGGCTCGGCGCTGCCTGTGCTGAGCTGCGGACACGGGCCAGCCCACGCTGGCTTGCAGGAGCCTCCCCACGCGCTGGGAAGCTGCTCCCGCACACTTTGCCCCGCGCTGACACAAAGGTCGCTGCTGGGGCTGAGTCAGGAGCATCCCTGTGCCCTGCCCCACGGGCTGTGCCTGCAGGTTCCGGGCTGGGCACTGCCGCCCTGGGCTGCTGCTTTCTGCCTTGCTGTCACTTCTGCCTGTTGCTGGTCTGCCGTGGGAAACAGCAGGTATGGCTCTCCCAGCTCCTTCCTTTGAATCTGTTCCTTGTTGGCGCTGAGTGGGTCCTGGAGCAGCAGCAGTAGGGAGTGGGATTAGTGACTGGATGGTGTGTAGTGACAGGGCTGAGCCAGCGCTGCCCTTGTCCCTGCACTGCTAGGGCTGAGGGGAAGGGGCTGTTCTGTGTCTGAGTTTCTTCAGGTGTGTGACCAGGAGCTTCTGAAGCTTCTGGCTGGTGGAGCTCCTGAAGCAGAGCTGTGCTGTGGTGCTGACTCAAAAATATCTTGGAATTACTGATCCCTGCAGCTCCTTTCTGAGAAAGGAGGGAGAAGGTTTTTCCGAGTTCTCCACTTCTCAATTCAATGGCTATTTGGAATCAGCAATACTTGATTTTCATTAGCGCAGCAAATTTGGAAGTCAGAAAAGAAACTTTGGAAGGTGTCCAGTCCATTGCCCTGTGCTGGGGTTGAATGCTCCCTGTTGGGTGTGGTGAGAGGCTTCACAGCTGCTCTGTGTGGTGCTGTACTGTCAGAGGTCACAGAAAACCCAGCTTCGATGCAGACAGACCTGATGTGTTACAAGGATGGGGAGAAAACACGACAGTCTCTGTGAGAAAACCTTTGCCATGGTGTTCTGTCACCATCTCCTCCTGCAGGACAGGAGGGAAAACTGATTCCTTAGAGCTTTCACATTCCTCATTCTCTTGCTTTCATTTTCTCTCTGCTGAATATGTTCTGAGTTGCTGTTGTGTCTTGAGCTGGACATCTGGCCTAGGTGCAGTCTGATTGTTGGTTACATCCAGCTTTGTTAATGGTATCGATGGGTGAGACCTTTCTTAAGCATTTTCATGTGAGTTTTTATGCACTTGGTCATCCATTCCAACCCTAAGCAATTCCCTTATCCTTTAGTGTGATTCCACTGCCCCATGTTGCATCAGCTGCTCCTTGACACAGGTGGTTCTTTGAACCTGTGTTCACAGAACTGTGCTTTGATGATTTCAGACTGTTTCCCCAACTCTCCTCAGTATTTCTGGCGCTTAGTCACACCAAGCTTGGTGCCAATTGGAAGTTTTGTGTGTTAAGCTACTGTGTGATCAAAATCATGGGGAAAACATTTAGTGGAACTGGAGTAAGCAGAAAGCCTTGTGGAGCCTGTTGAGATACACTCCTGGGCCACAGAGAACTGCTCGCCAAGAGCCACCTTTAGTGAAGGTGAAGTTTTACAGTCCTTGATAGTGACTAAATCTTGCTTCCTTGTGTGATTTGGAATAGAGAGACCTTGGCAACAGGTTAAAATACACAGATAGCCACTCAGGGCTGTGTCCCTGAGCTTTGTGTGTGGAGCTGTTTGATTTGGAACAGCAGCAATAGTGAAGAAAAGGTTAATCAGACTCTTAGTGCAGCACATTTGGTGTTGGGGACTCATTAGCAAGGCACCATGTCCAGCTACCTTGTGCCTTCTTTTTGTTATGGAGTGATTTCCTTCTTGGGTATCTGAGTAAATAATGATCCCAACAAATAATGATCCTAATATTATTTATTCAGATACCCTTCTTGGGTATCTTGGGTATCTGAATAAATAATTATAATGATTGCTTCATACCCTCTTGGAATGCTCAGCACCTCCAAACCAGGTGGTCATATTCTGTTTCATTGCTTTATGGAGAGACCTGGGCAGACTCATCAGCGGCTGAGGGCAACTGCATGAGGCTCAATAAGGCTCAGTGCTGGTCCTGCCCTTGGCACACAACAGCCCATGCAGCTCCAGGCTGGGGAAGGAGTGGGGACAGAGGTGTTGGTCCCAAAGGCGGTGCTGGGGCCCGTGGCTCAATGTGAGCCAACAGTGTGCACAGGTGGCCAAGAAAACCAATGGTATCTTGGCCTGGATCAAGAAGAGCGTGGCAGCAGGACTAGGGCAGTGCTCATCCCCCTGGACTGGGCACTGGGGAGGTCCCAGCTCAGTGCTGTGCTCAGCTTTGAGCACTCACTGTCCAAAGGCCATTGAGGCACTGGAGCGAGTCCAGCCAAGGGCAACAAGGGCAGCAAAGGGCTAGAGCACATGGGCAAGGGCTGAGGGAGTTGGGCTTGGTCAGCCTGGAGAAGAGGCTCAGGGGTGACCTCCTGGCTCTCTGCAACTCCTGCCAGGGCTGGAGAGAGCCAGGGGATGTGTGTCCTGCCATGGGTACAGGGAGAGGACTAGAGGGAATGGCCTTGAGCTGAGCCAGCGCAGTCAGATTGGATATTAGGAGAGATGTTTTCCTTGTGAGGGTGTTGAAGCACTGGGATATTGCCCAGGGAGGTGGTGGAGTCACCATCCCTGGAGGTGTTTCAGAGGTGTCTGGATGTGGCACTGGAGGATCTGGTTTAGGGGTTCCAGTAGTGACAGGTCAACAGTTGGACTCGATGACCTTAGAGGTCTTCTCCAGCCTTGATGGCTCTATGGCTCTGTGATTGTCTTTGTTTCTCCCCAACAGGTGTGACCTCCACAGTGCCTTTCCCTGAGACTGTGATGTGCCTCGTGTGGCTGTTGCTGCTCTGCACCCCCATGGTGTCCCCCACGCTGGCTGAGGGTGTCACCAGAGTCTTTCACCTGGGGATCCGCGAGGTGCACTGGGACTATGCTCCGACGGGGAGGAACGTGCTGGGTAACAAGAGCATCACCCAGAGTCGGTACGTGCCAGGGAGAATCCCTCTGGGAAGAGCTTCAAACTCCTGTTTGATGTGGAATCCCATGGAGGTGTTTTGGGGCATCTAAGCAAGCAAGAGACACACTCTGGCAGATTCTGATCTTTATGAGCTTAATGTGTAACTTGTTTTATCATTGGAGCACAGAAACTGTTTCATTGGAAAAAGTAATGGTAGGTTTGGAGTATCCAGAGCCTGCACAGTGGAGGGAAGTGTGTGGAAAACAATCAGGGAGCAGAGAAAAGAGCAGATAGAGAACAGATTGTTCTGAAATAGCCCAGATTGTGCAATGCTCTGCCCTGGGGGCTCATTTTGCTGAGTTCCAGCTGGTGATCAGCTCGTGTATCCCGAGGCACAAGGACTTTTCATCTTGATGCAAATGACTCCACAGAGCCGGCTTGTTTTTGTCAGTGGCATTTCGAACCTTGAACTTAATGGCACTTCCTGCATGAACTTTTAGGGACAGTTTGAACAATATTTTTGTTCTTGCAAAAATAAATCCGGACACTTCAGTAATTGCCGTGAGTCACTACACAAACAGCTTTTGGTTTCAGTTTTCAAAATACTGTTTTGTGTCTGTGTGGTTTGCTTTGGGTTTTAATAACTTTCCACAGCATTTTGAATGCATTTGTGCTTTTTTCCCTTGCCCTTATTTTCTGTGACAAATATAGAATCACAGAATCAACCAGGTTGGAAAAGACCTCCAAGATCATCAAAGATCATCAAGATCATATCTGGTGTTTCTTGACCTGTTCTGTGCTTTTCCTCTCCACAATAACTGACACTCAGGTTTATACATCTTCAGACACAGCGCAGCAGGAACAGAAGGGTTCACAGAAACATCAAGCTCTGCCAGTTTAGTGTGGAAAAGTTAGTGTTTCTGGAGATGCTCTGTTTATTAGTAAATTAGCTCATAGGAAACCCCCCAAAATTCATCATTAATGAAGGTGCTGGCACTGACTCCTGAAATGCTGATGAATGCTGTAGGTTTTGTTTGCTCTCTCTCCTAATACATGAAAAGAAGGAAGTGAAATTCAGGGCCATTGAACTTAAAGGCAGTTAAAACTGTTCTGTCACTGCGAACAATTAGCTAGTGGAACTTATTTGTATAATGATTGCAGAAACAAAATTGCTGGCAGTTAGAAAGGGATGTGATGTTGACACGAGTGACAGAGGTAGTACAATACTTGAAGCAGTTTTTTGTTGAGGAGGAATGGGCTGTGTGTGGGGAAAAAGGGAGATCTGTAAGATGAAGTGTGAACTGTCTCAGGCTCTGCTGATCATGGCTACAGGGCTGGCTGGGCAGAAGGCTGAGCTCTGGGTGCTACTGCTAGAGTCTGCAGCTTTCTGAGTGATGGGGGCAGTGCCTAATGCTGGTCCCAGCTGTTCGTCCTCTGGGACCTGTGTTAGGGTTTGCCTCTCTGCCAGAGCTGCTCCATTGCTGTGGGTCTTTGGCTTGAAGTGGGGGGAGTGACCTCACCTCTCGTTTAGGCTGGTTCCACTAATACCTGGACCATGATTCATCTCTTATCTACTAAGAATTGGCCATAAAGGACAAATATGCTCATGGGTTGAACTTTAGTATCTGTACGAGGTTTTAACTCTGGAAGCTGGTTATGTGCTGGGTATGTACACATGCTGGGCAGGTACCTGCCTGGATGATGTGCTGGGTACCTGCCTGACTCGTCTGCCATTCTGCAAGGAATTAGGAACCTGTTCAGTAGAAAATAATCTCTGACTATAAGGTTTGTCCAGAACTCAGGAGCCTTTTCTTCCCCCTCTTGTGATGTAGCTGCAAATGCCAGGAAGGAATGGAGTGAGTTTCTAAGAGCCCAGTGAAGCTGAAGCAGGTAGAAGGGTCCTCCCTGCGACACCCATGTGGGATGGTCTGGGAAGCACTGTCCTTCCTGCCCCTTGCCCTCAGGGCACAGTGCAGGGGTGCACTTTGTGCCATGGCCATGCGTGGGGGGCGTAGAGCCTCCCAGAGTCCTCTGATGCCACAGCTTTGGCTGTACCTGGGAGCACAGAGTGTCACCACCACTCTGCTGCAGCATTGACCAGGTGTTGTGCGAGTGCTGACTCATGGTGTCTTTCCCCTTGAATTGACAGCCAGGCCTCAGCCTTCCTCCAGTCTGGGAAAGACAGGGTGGGAAGCACGTACAAGAAAGCTGTCTACAAGCAGTACACGGACGCCACATACAGCACTGAGGTCCCCAAGCCTGGCTGGCTGGGCTTCCTGGGGCCTGTCATCCGAGCAGAAGTGGGGGATACCATCAAAGTGCACCTGAAAAACTTTGCTAGTCGACCCTACACAATCCATCCTCATGGTGTGTTCTACGAAAAGGACTCTGAAGGTAAATGAGCCACTGCCACCACAGAGACAGATTTTCTCACTAGGAACTTAGGAGTGTGCACAGAGGAGAGGTGTCTGTAAAGCCCCAGCTGGAAAACAGCTGCACTTGGGTATTGGGTTGGCAGAGTCACAGAGCTGGGAGTAGTTTCCTGACCTGGGCATTACAGTACACAGCCCAGGCTTCTCGGTTTTAGGAGAACCTCCAGAGCCCTGGTCAACCCTAGAGGCTGTAGAGATGCTGACTGTGCAGGCACAGTGCAGAACTGAAGGCAAATGGCACTAGACAGAACAGACATCTTTCTGACTCTGTGCTGACCCACTTACTGGGCAGGCTGCCTTAGAGTGGCTCTGCCTCAGTGCCTCCTTGAGGGAGTGAACACCAGTTCAGCCTTGGGATGACTGAAATCAGCTACCCAAGTGTGTGTGTACAGGTGTGAGTTGCTCAGTGTGAGGTTACATGTGTGGGCACCTTGGCTCTTCTTGAATGGATGTTGTGATTGCTCAATTGTTCCAGGATCCCTGTATCCCGATATGTCCCCCCAGGAGCAGAAGAAGGATGATGCTGTTTTCCCAGGAGGGAATTACACCTATACTTGGACTGTCCCTGAAGATCACAGCCCAACTGCTGATGACCCAAACTGCTTGACCTGGATCTACCACTCTCATATTGACGCACCAAGGGACATAGCATCTGGATTAATTGGGCCATTACTTACATGCAAAAAAGGTGAAAACACCACAAGAGAGCAGCTGAGGCCTGCAGTTTCATAGCATAAAGGCTTTGTGGTGACATGAATAAGCACAGGATGTGAAGATGCTCTGGTGGGTAGCTCCTAGCTTCAGGGGGAAGCAGGGCCTGGTTGGAGGAGACAGTCCCTGGATTCTAGCTGGGTTCTGGTCATTGCATTGTCTTTATTCCTTAGTGGCTGGGCAGGTGAGCTTGCAGGCCTCTTGGCCTAAGAGAGCTGCTTGAATCCCTGTAAAAGCAGGACTCCTGTCCCAGGCCTAGTTTGTGTA